GTGCAGTCGGCGTAGTTAGATAGGGTTTTCTCAGAGCTTTCGAAAGGCGCCGGTTTTGAAGACTTTACGCAAGTAGTCAAGAATCGGCTTCGTCTGGAGTTGTGCGCAGCAATTAGCCTCGATCTTGATAATAGGGGTGCCGGGCTCGCGGAAACCTTTCGTGACGGCGATGAATACCTGCATCACGGCAGGTTGACACTCTTGGAGAAACGCCCTCGTTGGGAAAGTACCAGTTCGGAGTACTGTCCTCAGGGACCGGGTCGACCGATCCATACCGGAGGCAAGCCGTCAGAGTCTTGACTGCCGCGACGGCCTGCGTATATTGATGGCGAAAAGCTTGAGATTCGACCAGTCTACTATGTTGGAGAACAGCCCCACAAGATATCCCAGCTTCTCATGTCCATCCTTCGTTGGCTGTCGTCTGTGCAAATCTCAGCACCCAAGACGGTGGTCATCGAGGACGGAGACGGCGAAGGCCCGTACAATTCGACAAGAGAGTCGCAACAGCATCGCGAAGCAGGTGGAATGTGTCGCTCCGCCGCTCCAGAAGCACCGTGAAGAAATTGATATAGCCCTGGAGGTAGTCAGAGGTAGAATTGCAAAGAAAGAGGTTGATGGTCGACGGCCGGGAGGCTCTGGCGAGCTCAGAGGCGTCGGCCTTGTAGACCAGCAGCTCTCGGAAGAGCAAGCGCAGGACGAAATCGGCGGTTTGGCTCTCGTTCCGCACGGTTTACCTCGTCGAGGACGAGTTCAAGAGACGGCGCAATCAAGTAGAGCTTCTCAACCATGTGAGCCACCATGTCCTGCATCTCTCGTTTCATAACAACGTAGGGGTAATCATCTGGAAGGTGGCTCAGAGTCGACAATGGCACTTCAGGATCAAGCAGCGACCGGAACACCAGGGTGCTGTTTTGCTGCGGCGCGGGTAGCGGGGCCTGCGGCCCGGAGTGCTTCAGCGTCCAAGGCAGCCAACCTGCTCTCCTGGTCGCGCAGCTCGGATTGAAGCTTCATAATCTACTTGACGTGGCCGCGGTTGTTTGCAGCGAAGTTGAAGAACCGACGGTAGACCTGGTCCCTCAGCTGCAGCGTCTCCTTGCTGGCGGCAAGCTTCGCCTCAACCTCGGCCCTAGCGCCACCCTCGCAATCCCTCGGTTCAAGGCTGTTGTAATATCGCTCGCGGCTTTTGTAGGACTTGTGCAACTCCTTGTATTCTCGATGGTGCGGGGGACAAAATTGCTGGTAGGTTTTGAGCAGGCGGCGCCGGCAGTCAGAACCGTCCCTCGAGCAGAACACGGCATCGCAAGTCCGCTCGAGAGGTGCTCATGATGTTCGCCCGGCTGGACCCGAGGTTTCCGGTCTGCGTTGTGCGAGCTGGCGCCGCTTGCCTTTGGGCGCTTAGCAGAAGAAAAATTCGGAGCGCACGTCCAACCCAAGGTTCGGGCGGGGTTGACGGATGCTTGTTCGTTGGAGTGTTTACGCACCAGGCTCTTGAGAATCCACAGCCAGTTAGAGAGGTTCTCTAACCTCATGAGATGCAATGTACTCAAGGCATAGGTAGCCTCATGCAGTGGCGTGATTGGCGGTAACTGAAACTCCACTTGAGTTGAGGACAACACGAACTGATTTGGGAACCCGGCAGCGCCGGCCGAAGGGATCTCGCGTGAATGTTGTGGCAGCGACTTTATCGACATACTCATGAACGACACTACGAACATAGCAGGAATGTATACCGTTACAGCGGTTTCATACCAGCTCTCTGGATGGGTGGCTGAGACGAGAGCGCCGGCAGCGACCCGTGAATCCTTATAGGGTTACCACTATCAAATTCTAACACGGACTCATTACCTAAACATACCTAGGTATATATGATTATAGCCGGTGAAAACTCGGGATTCAGTCCGCTCCCCTGAGTCAAGCTTGTAAGGTACCGGACGAGTAGCTGGGTCGATGACGACCAGCGAATCCCCGGTGTTGTAATTATGTTTTTTTGACGCTTGTTTTTGTCCTTGCCTCCTGTGAAGGTGCCCTTTTTCCTATCATTGGTACCATTGGTAAGCTAGGGCCCGAGGTCTTACCACTCAGGACACCTCGACCTTCGCCCTCCGCAAGCGTGGCCGTCCCGAGGGCGTTAGGCGGACGATGCTGGCAGCAGGGGCAGAGGTTTGCCGTTCCGCCTGCAAATCTCCACACAACGGTGATACTCCACCTCGCTCCTCACCTTCTCGACCAGACGGCCGTCTTCCACCCCCTCGGTGGTCCCACCCTCGTCATCGTCCGCCTCCTCGATAGCGGACAAGGTCGCCTCGCAGTCCCAACACAGACACCGCTCGTACTCTTCGCCGAAGCGCACAAAGAACAGTTCCCTGGTCTCCTCCATCCCGCCTTGCAGCACCTTGGACCCCAGCTTGTCATCGTGGTTGACGAAGACGCCGGTCCGCCGCTTGACCAACTCGGCGTAGGCCTGCGCAGAACACTGATGCGTGTGCCAAGCGAGGTCGATGTCAAGCGTCGGCACGAGCATTTTGCCCGGGTACAGGGCGAACAGGCGCAGGAACTTATCGTAGCGGTCGACGGCGCGGCGCAGCGTGCCGCCCGCGGCGGGGCTCCGGATCCACAGCTGCAGGTGCATCTTGTCGACGAATGCCGCCTGCCGCTGCACGTTGTCGGCAAGCGGCTGGTCGGCGTGCTTATCCGCGTCAGTCTGCTGGAGGACGGCGAGGAAGGCGGCGTCGCGGGGTGAGAGCTGGCCTTGCATATCGAGCAGGTCGCCCAGTAGGATGATGTGGACGCGGCGCTGGCCGTAGCGGGCGAGGGTGGTCAAGACACGATTGTTGCTGGCGACGGAGCTTTGCCTTCCTCCGCCTCTGCCGACGGACTCGAGGTAGCGAAAGAGGTTGGGCTCCAGGCCGGCGTGCGTTCGTGTCCATTCCTCCGAGACTGCGGGCAAGGTGTATGTCCAGTTTCGGGAGTGTATCGCGTCGTGCACAGCTTTCCACGGGAAGGGGAGTCGACGGAGCTGGGTTAGGCGGTAGCGGCTCTGGGTTCTGTCATAGTCGTGGGGATTTAGCAGGAAAGCGTGCCAAACCATGAGCACATCTTCAGGCAGTAGTTGAGGTCAGTGGATACCGCACATGTTGCAACCTCGGCCGAGGACATACCAATAGGAGGCAGGAAGGGCAGCTTCGACCATGTTGTTCCGGCCTTAAACGTTGCCCATTTGTCGGGCCCATCGCCACGGGGCGCCTCTTCCAAGAAGGCGTCTAGCTTTCTCGCCCAGACCTTGAACCGGCCCACGGCAATGCCGAGAAAATACAACCACTTGTTCCGCCTCTTGGACGGCAGTGTCTCATCCCTGAGCTGCACTGGCTTGTGATAATACTTCCGCTTCTGGTGGCTGTACGTCTTGCGGAAGACGGTCTTTTTCTCTTCCACGACGCCGAATGTCTTGTCGAGCGCCTTGGAGTCAATGACGTCTTGGCGTAACCTGAAAAAGACCTCGAGCAGCTCGAGGTGGACAGCGCATTCGCTCTCGGTCGGGAGGCCCGACTCATCTGGCGCGGTTGAATGAGTGGGCGGGACGTGGAAGGATGCGAAGAGCTTGGGGTCCGGGATCTTTGGCTCTTCTTCGACCGTCTTAGCGGTTCGTTCATACCGGTTGAACGCAGTTTTTGCGTTGTGATAGCTGTACTTCCCAGGCACCAACGAGTTCACTTCGGCTTTGCTGGCGGCGTGGAGGTTCTTGAGGTGGAATGGAACAAGGTGGGCCATGGTGACGGGACTGGATGAGGTCTAGACGTCTAGTCTCCTCAGTTGGTTGACGGATTCATGGACGTGGCGGACAGAAGCGTTGGGCTACCGGTCTTTTCTCTCCTGTTGGTTTGCGAATGAGCTCCCTGGCCAGGATGCGGGGCAGCAGCATGATGCATTGTCACGCCGACGAACTTTACACAGTAGTCGGGCGTGCGGCTCTGCACCAAACACAGCCTCACCCGCCGCTGATTGGCTGATGTGACCTGTCAAGGCAGACACCGTTTCCTTTGCCAGGCTACGTACCGTCCGTCATCAAGTCGGGTGACGGGATTAGCTCCGTTGAGCACCCAAAAGTGTCAAATCTCAACTTTTAAGCTTTTCCGTCGTTTCCCGGGTCCCGGGCTAAGCGCGTCGCCAACCATATCTCCAGGCGCCCCTCCAGCCGACCAGGCATCATTCCGGATCTTCTATTCACCTTGCATCTTCTTGAGTAACGACGTTCGAGCACAGCAACCTAAGGCTCTTCAACTGGAAAAGGAGTTTGTCATCGAACAAAGTTATGTCTGGAGGATGGTCGTGTGTCGTACGCTTCGCGTGCCACTTACCCATGGGCATGATTGGCTTCAGCGGCCGTGGCGTATATGACGCCGTTAAAGACTTGGACGCCCTTGGAATCTACGATGTGATTCCAGGCGGGCGGATGTTCTTGTCGGGCCTGCAGATGTACGCGACTTGGGTAAGCCCGGAGAAACTGACACGGGAGCTGCGTGGTTCTCTAACAGATAAGCATAGGGAATATTTGCGTTCGCATGGAACTTCGTCATGTTCATGGGGTGTATGGCGTGCTACTCGTGGCTCTGCTTGCTTCTCGGAGTCGTTGATTCCATGATCGCCAGCTCCCTTCTCGTCAGTGCCGTCAAGCAAGCGCAGTTCCTCCCGCGGACTTACAGCAGTTGCGACTACGCGACCGACTGGGGCAACGGGACGGACGGCCGCAACTTTTTCCTCGCTGCCAACGAGACTACATTCAGCAACTACGGGGGGCCGAAGAACTTATGTCACAGCATGGTCGAGCTTTGGGCCATTACCGTCTCCATGGGGTGAGTTTTGACTGCCCTCCCCCTATGACATATAATTAATAGTAGTGTTGCGACGGAGCAGTGTCCTCTACATGCTGACTGGGGTTATCAACATTCTCATCGGCTTGGTACAGGCTTACGACTGCCATCATCGCAACGGGTCCACGTATTACAGCGGCTACACGACCTACGACACAACAGTCAACAACAGATCGTCACGTTGGGCTGGCCTCGGCAGGTTTGCTCTTTGGATCCTGACACCGGTTCTCTGGATCTTGGACCAGCCCTTGGCAGCCTGCCGGTTCGTTTTGCGATACACGCGCAAGGCACTTGCCGCTAAGAGGAAAGACAGAAGGGACGGCAAATCCCTTCAGCACCGAAATCAGCGCCCAGGAAAGTTTCCCGCCGAGAACGAGCCTGACACTGATCATAAGCTTATGCCAATACTACCGTATGAGCTTCTCATCAAGGTCTCGGCGGACATCCACTACGTAGATCTGATCAGCGCCAGCCGTTCCTCCAAGAGGCTGCGGATCGGTTTGTTTGGTGCTGGCGGCCCCAATCCAAGTCAGCTAGAGGACCTCCGACGGTTCTCCTGCCAGGGAAACACAAAACGCAGCTGCGAGCTCTGCGGCATTCAAACATGTCCAGTAAGTGCCCGTTCCAAGGCAGTAGGATAAAGTACCCAAGATACTTTACGTACGACGAAGAGCTAAGTATCGACTGGAACTAACCCAATGTCTGGCAGCATTGTCAAACACTAGTAGCAATGGCACCGTCTCTAGCGTCCCAGCATCTCAAGCATTGCCAACCGCAGTGCTCGAAGTGTTTCTACGACACGTACTGCCGCTGGTGGGGACTGCAAGGCCAGCGCTTGGCGAAGCACAAAGAGACGTGTGGGCTCAAGGAGCAGCGGACCGACGTCGAGATGGCCTTGACAGCAGGCGTGTCGGCACCGGACACCAAGACCCTGTGCCGAATGTGCGCCTCGATGACGCCTGCAGAACGCAGGCGAGCCTTCGAGGCGAAGGACGAAAGGGAGCTCGACCGGATGGAAAGGCACCCACTCGTTTGCTCCAAGTGCAAGGGTATGCTCTCGGCAAGGGCTATGAGATGGTGGATCTGCGGGCAGTGCCTTACGGAGTGCCCTTCACACATGCACCCGGCATGGGCCGACGGGAATCCGCCTTGGCCGCTGTAAACAGCTTTGTCTCCATACTATGATCACCAATGACTTATCCGCTGGTGAAGCCCTGAGCTTCATGTTGCTATGGCTTTAACCCTACTAGTGTCTCTGCACTGCTGCGCGAGCCGCACTGCAGAAGGAAGGAATGGAGAGAGTGATGTCGATGTACGTTGGGTATTTGTGCGTCATGTGGGAGCCTGAAAAGCCCCAGAGCTGATAATGTATCTTGCCTTACCTTACCCCCTTCCTGACTCCTCGGTGTCCCCTCAGGTAGGTTGGTGCCCGCAAGGCTGTGGGAAGGCGTCAGCAAACGGCGGTGTCGCACCTGCAGTGGCGCAGCAGATAAGGCATTGCAACGGGGCGGTGGCAGTGCACTTGAACCCAGACCACTCCCCAATGTTCCAGGGCTGACATGGTTCTCGACTACCATCGCCTACGAGGCAAGACTCGCTCACAAGAAAGGGGTCCGGGTTATTTTATGTTGTGGTCATTGATCTCATGCGGTGGCCATCCGAGCGCGGGGTGCAAAGAAGACAAGCAGCCCACAAAGATCTGCGAACCGCGGGCCTCATACCTGACCTTGTGATATCTCTCCTAGAACGACAGCCATGTCTCGGTTGAAGAACATACGCGTAGCGTTTCTACCCTCCTCGCAGTCGAGCATTACCCCTGCGACTGAAGCACCCTGGACGTCGCTTGGGCTGGGAAAGAAGGTCCTGCTCCGTGAACTGGAAACGCTCTATTGGGAGGGTGTTCGAGGAGAACTCGAGAACATCGTCCGCACGTTGAACACTTGGCAGAAGCCCGAGTTCTCTGACGTGAAGGTGGACGACGAGGATGACATCTTCATTCACGGCTTCGATACATTCCTCGATCAGGTCACCGAAGAATCGCGAGCATTCGCTATTCGATATGGTGAGGCGCCGCTTCATGTTTCCTAAAAGCTTTCTTCCTTTTTGAAGATAGGTCGCTGAAAGGCCGTGCCAGAAAAAATAAAGAAAAAGGAGATGGAGCTGCGTCAGAAGAATGCATACGTAGCGTCGACCGCCAAGTACGCCGAGGCACTCAAAGAGGTTCTCAGAGATTGTCAGACCGACCACGCCAGCTCCAGGCTTAGAGCCAAGGTCCGGCGTGCCATTGATGGTAAAGGCCGGCCCATTCCCTGGCCAGGGAAGACGTGTGCAGCCTCCTAGGTTCCATTGTTCTAATCTTGTCCAGATCTCCCGAGACTCAGAGGCCTTCAACAACGGGCATGGATGTTGCTGCAAGCCACAGGTCGGCATATACCTACATACTTTACCTGACCGAACCTTACCCACCCCTGAAGAGCCGTGCATCCAACTGACCATGTCGGTAGGATTTCTCGACATTGAAAAGCTGATCGAACACCGGCCGCCGCTGGACAAGCTTGGCTTCTGGAAGCGGCCCGCAATACCTCAACGTACGGACGGCTTGTCTGCTTTAGTGGTTCATGCTTAGGTATTGATGCCTTGTTTTTCTAGTGGCCCTGTCCAAGTTTGACGGGTCTTGGATTCCACGCCTCGAGCCTCTGCGCTGCAGTCATCCTGACTGCAACAGCGTCATACGGGGAAGCATGTTCGTCCCGTCGGCCGCATGTGCTGGACTACCCGGCCAAGCCGTCGTTTGTGAGGACTGCTACCGCTCGGTCCACTACGGCGACACGTCTTTCACCAAATCCTACAAGCACTGCGTCCTCGCCGAAGCCATCACACCGCCAATAAGCCGGGCTATTTGCCGCTGCAAGGACGTCCCTCATTTTGATGGTTCAGGCAAGGCATTGTCCCTCTTTCCGCTAGCCAAGGACGCAAAGCATTTCGATGTCGGTGGGGCCGGAACCGTTCAATGCAGCCTTCTTAAGCTTGGTGAGACTGTCGCCCTGGCCAAGTACAACGGGCTGCAATCCGTCGTGAGCACCAAGAAACCATTCAAGTCGCCCTCCATGGTATCTTTATCCGATGCTACTCCCGGAAAGAGCACGGCCAGCACAGGCGAGGGCTCAGCTCCCAACATGGCTTTGAAACCAAAATCGAAGCGACTTGAGACCAAGACAGAGAGCAGCCTCCATGATTCTGCGACCCGAGTTGCCGCTTCAAGCTCCACGAGCGTTGTTACCGAAGCAACAGCTGATGAAGATATCCCCTTGTTCTTCAGGAGGTTCACGTCCAAGTACCCATTCGGGAATGTGCACATGGCGCTGAGGGTTGGCCCATTGGTGATCGAGAACGGAGTGGCCCAGTGAGTTTCCACGACAAGCACCCGGGTTCCCTTTTCGGTAGCTCACAATTATTCTAGCACCAAAGGCGGCGCCTTGGTAACCATGCGGGAACCGCCCGTCTTCCAGGGTCGGCTAATGCTGTTCACACCTCGCAACCGCAGCCTTGCCGTAGGGGGAACCGCGGCGCGGGAGATTTGGCAACAAGATCGACTTCCGATATCCCAGAAACGTTACAAAGCCGTCATGAAGCAGGTCGTCGGCGCCCCTTTCACCGGGATGCTACCCCACGGGGAGGAATTGGACATCATCAATGATCTTCTAGCGGCAAGCCTGAAGCCATTCGACGACCCGGGTCTGCCAGTCGCCGAGCAGCAAAAACTCATCTCGGAGAGTCTGGACCACGTGTTGGGAAAGCTGAAGGCCGTGATACACTCGAGGGTCATGATATACCTGGAGAGCATTGCGGAGCGGCTCCTGACCCCCAACACGAAGTTGACCTGGAGTGCCACGACCAACAACTGCCAGAGCTTCTGTAACGCCCTGATCGACTTTGAGCTATTCGGACCTCTTGTCGGCAGCACAAGCACACCAAAACCAGACATGCCCTCCCCTCTATACGTCATGAGTTTCGTTTGCCCCGACGAGGGCTACCTGCAGCGCGGCGTCGCGACCAAGTACGATGTCCCAAGCGGGTTGACCGAGGAGTACCTCCTGCGCTTCCACTTTGGGCGCCACGACGAGGCCGACATGATCGACACGCAGCAGGAGTACTGGTACGACTGGGGCGCCTTCGGCGGGCCGCTGTACAAGTACCAAGACCTCTTCCCTTGGGACTGCACCGAGGCCTACGGCCGCTACCCGACGCGCTGCGGAGCCTGCAACCTGGCCAAGCACGTCTGGGCCTTCCCCTTCGACGCCTGGTCCGTCGCCGCCCTGCACCTGACGCGCGAGCGGCACCTGTACGGCCCTGCCGCAGTCGACGCCTCCCTCGCCGCGGCGGGCCCAGGCGCCACACCCCAGACGTGGATGCGCAACCGCCTGACGGTGCTCACCGCCAACAACGTCCTCTCGCGCGCCGCTGTCGCCATGGCGCGGACCCCGCGCTTCGCGCGCACCACCGCCTGGCTACACAACTCTAACCCCAACCCCTCCAACCCAACCAAGGGCGGGACCGCCAGCAACCTCCTCTCCGCTTACCCTTCCCTCGCGCGCGTAAAGCTCGGCGGCATCCACCGCGCCCAGCCCTTCAGCCATTACTTCGAGGCCGGCACCTACAGCCACTACTTCCTGGCCGAGTGGGCTTTGCGCCCACGCGCCGAGCAGATCGCTGCGTACGAGGAGCTGCGCGACGGTCGCGTGCGGCTGCCGGACGTGGTGCGCGGGACCGGCAGGGGCCGGTTTGCGAGTCTGATGTCGTCGCGCGATCGCTCGCTTGGGTTTGCCGGGTTCGGTGGCGGCCACGCGGCCGGGGTGATGCCGGACGCCGCCGCCGCGACGCCCATGGACGCGAACAACGCCGGGCCGCTTGCGGACGCGGGCTTTACGGCGGCTGATCTCGGGCCGGATGTTCCGGGCGTCGAGGGGCCGGCTTGTGCGGTTGGCTGTGGGTCGAGTTGTGGGAGCGGGTGTGGCAGCGCCTCGTGCGGAGGGGATGCGGGAGGATCTGGGGGTGGCTGCGGCGGAGGTGGCTGTAGAGGAGGAGGGGGAGGAGGAGGTTGCGGAGGAGGAGGTTGCGGAGGAGGAGGAGGAGGAGGAGGTGGTGGCGGTGGTGGGTGCTGACGAGCGTGAACATCAACAGCTGCTGGCCGCTGGCAATCGTACCTGGGGTAGGTACGCGGAGCCAAGGCAGTCATGAGAGCCTTTTCGATTGCTTCAAATGCAGCTCCGTGGCGTGGGACCAGTGCCAATCTGCCGCCGTCTTTGTAAGCTTGTAGTGTGGTTTAGCCGTTCCTGATGAATTGCTTTCGGTAGCACGTCAAACATGTGCCTTACCCCATCAGCACCTCCAATCTCTCTCTGCGTCGAGCGCCAAGTGGACCAAGAACGCCGAATTGGGACCAGCATCGACACAGGTAACACGTGGAGTTTGCAGCGTCAACAGTGATGCCGAGGTAATGATACCCACAATGGGGAGTGTCTTGAAAGGGATGGATCCGAGGTCTAATACACTTCCTAGGCGCTCAGTTCCCCTTCCTCGAGCCGCCGTATCCGATCCGAGTAGCATGCGCGGCGATGTACCTCAACCCGACAGAACAGAAGCTGCTGGAATGTCTCTTCAGTCATCTCATATGCCTTCAAACAGATCCGGCCATCATCATCCAGCCGTGTCAGAAGGAGCACGCGACTACCAACATGGTGATACATAGCCGGCGGGACGGGCCAGACGTTTTCTGGACCAGCAGCTTGTTGAGAGGTCCTTGAGCCTGGGGGGTCCATGTCTCTGGTAAGCTCAACTCCGTCGTCGAGAATTGCGGGCTGCCCGTACAAAGAGCGGATAAGGTTGACCAGACACAGGATGTAGGGTTTATCTGCCCGGCTGACAACATCAAACTCGTTGATGATGTTGAGGTAGAGGCCCAGGGGCCGGCGCGGTGCAAGTCCTTCCACGTTCAGGGCCTGGGTCACGACTGGTGGAGCGCCGAATGTGATGCACGACAACCTCGCGTTAGAGGCTACAGGTATGGGCATGTCAGCATTGGATGAGATCGATATTCGAGTACGTCAGGCACCTTCTTACCACTGTCCGAATTCACAACACGGCGGAGAAAGAGCAGGCTCGCGACCGCGCCGCCTGCCGAGTGCCCAGTGAAGATGATGTGGATGTTGGACCGACGGCTCTGAACATAAAGGCGTATTCTCTCGGAAACAGCGTGCTCTAGCGCTTCCGCGCTATTTACAAAGCCGCTATGAGCATTAATGCTCCGCCCCTTGAGCCATTAGCGCTGGCTGACCATACTGCGGCGAACGGGCCGTCAGAAGGCTGGGTACGTACATTGCAGTCAAAAGCAGTTCGTGGCCTTGAATTCGCATTCACCATGTGGTCGACCTTGCTGGCGCTCCCCCGGACCGCAATGACGAGGGCGGGTAGGAGATTGTCATTCGTGTCTGCAGCCGGCGTTACGATGGTTGAGAGGAGCGCTTTGGTGCTGCCTCCGATAGACGGAGATACGATGTGGTCGTGCTCAAAGTTGCAGTACGAGGAGTTTGGCAGCCCTGCTGCGGCATCGACATCGTATGCGCCCAGCGCACATCTCCAGGCAGCCGAAACGACGTGGGCTGTGGCCTGGGAGCTACATATAGGCTCACATGCGTCAGCCTCGGCACGGGTGGTGGCAGTGGCACCTCGTACTATGTCCATTTGGTGCAAATATGTTCGTCTACCCTTGAGTTTGCGTATTTGGAAGCCTCCCGGTCAAGCCGAAGAAGGATATCACGGAGCTGCACGTCTAGGTCGCCTTCTGGCAGCAGACTCGTCAGCTGAAGCCTGAGGTCGAGCTCAACTGTCAAGGCGACCATACGCCAGGCAACTACTCACCACTAAGGTCGACTTGATCGAGGGCCTTGTCAAGTGCAGCCGACAATTCGACCGTCGCAGCTGAGGCGCCGCGTGAGTTATCGACAAAGGTTATGCCCGAGGCGGGAGTCTCGGCCGATATCTTCAAGGCCGAGGTGCTTGCCTCAGGGTGACTTGTGCCGACCCGGAAAAGCCGCTTCATCTCACCGAATCCACACCCGTAGAGAGGGCTCGGCCTACACTTGTCCAGGCAGAGAAATGGAAAGCTCAGTGGAGAATAGGAGCTTGCCTATGTAGTGCAAGGGAGCAACGGCCAAGTGGAGACGAGGATGTGATATACTTGCCAAACAAGGAGAAGGAGGGAAAGGAAGACCTTGCATGAAGCTGTGCAGCCTCAACGTGCGGGGGTGAACAGCACACGAGCCGAAACAATGCAAACTGAGGTTGCGGAAGCAACGCCACGTGCCTGCACAAGGAGACCCACTGCCGCCTGCTATACTCATGTGTACTGATTCTTTCCAATTTTATGGTACATAAAAATAGTTTCAAACCTCTATCACATACGACCATACCTGGTAAGAGAACTCAGGGTCGTGTTGGCACATAAGTGGGGCTTTTTGTGGGGCCTTTCTGCGCTTTTTGAGCCCTAACCCTCTTCTTTTTTTTTTTTTTTGGGCGACAGGTGCGAGGCGCAACAGGTTTTCGACCCGTCCCGGCCCCCGAAAGCTCGAAAAACGGAGCCGGTGCCGCCGCCTTTCTCGGACACAGTTACCTGAGAGACGGCGAGGAACGCCGGTCTTCTCGGACGCTTCCCCTGTCTGACTCTCTTCCCCGAGCAATCCCACATTATGGCCGGATTTCTTCCTTTCCACCCCTACCGTGGGCCACGGACGAAGAGGGAGCCGGCATCCGGGAGTGCGAAATCATCAGACTGCAATTCATGGAAGCGCCTCTTAGGCCCTCCTCCCCTTCCCTCCCCTTCCCCCTGCCCTCTCTTCTTCCCTTTCCCGTTTCCCCCTTCCATTGAACTTGCTCTTTCTCTATCTCCTTTTTTTGCTCGTTAGCTCTTTAGACGCTTATTCCCCTTATTCTCATCTCGTGATTTCTTCGCCGGTCATTTTAAGGTCACAACAAGGCCCTAGCGCCCCTCATCCACCCATTGTTGCCTCCCACAAACATCTAAGCCATGGCCGGCTACCTTGCTAGATGTGGCTGGCTCGATCAGATGTCCGCTCAGCCCGCTGAGCAAGAGCGGGCTCTGCAGAAGCTTTTCGAGGATTCTGTTGGCCAAGTAGGGAAACAGGACGGTCCTCTTGTCGAAGAGTCCACAAGGTGTCAGAGGGATCGGATATGGAAGCTCTGGGAAGGGTAAGCAAGCCTTCTTTCTTTGAAGCGAGTAACCTTTCGTCCGCTGAACTGGTTACGCAGCTTCTGTCGTTTGGCCAAGATCGACTCCGCCCGCGTTTGGGGAGATTTTCACATACAGCGCGATACAGCGACTCAGGCGATCCAAGTGTTCCTTACTAGCTACGTGCGGAATTCACTACAGATGCGCTTCGTTCTCGACGCACGCGAGCGCGCGAAGGTGCGGACGGTCACACATGCTTCGACGGTTGTAGGGATCTGGAGGGGGCTTGTTGCCGCCGCTGATTTCTACATCATGGAGCCCAAGAGGCGGGCTCAGCCCAAGAAAGCTCGTTTCTGGAGACTTCAGTGGTTCCACGCCGTGGAGGGCCGTATTGCAGGTCCTGGATTCAAGGTCGTCGCGGTCAGTGATACCTTGATGCATCTTTTCGATGTGGGTGCGTGAATGCTGACCAGGCTCTGGGCGGCAGTGGATATATGAAGATTTAGCGTTGAAGGAAGGCTTGCTCCTCGACTCGCCGTACCAAAAAGTCGCGGCGGCGCCTCCGACAGTCAGAAAAATCCTCTTCACTGAGCGACTCACTGGTTAACTTTCAGGTGACTATTACTCCCGCAACCGCCATGACGTTGCTGAAGGCGGGAAGGGTACATATAAGGCGCTATCCGGTGGGATCGGCAAAGTTTAAGAAACCTGCACCTCCCTTATCCCCGCACGATCTCCAATTCCTCTTCTTGCCCGTATGGTCAAACGCGTCCCTAGATCCCAAATCGTGTCTGTCCCACTATATTGACTTACGCAGCCCTCCCTTGCGAAAGTTTACGTATACAGGGTTCAACTGGTTCGGCGCAACATGCCCGAACTCGGAGCTGATTGTTTTGTTCGAGGGCTGTAGTGTCGGTATCGGAAAGGGTGGCGTATATCACTCGCGGCACGGCCTCGCTCGACAGCTCGGGAAAGTTGTGCACGTCCACGGCATAGTCGTAGGTGCAGTGCCGGTGGAGGAGGTCGGGAGCCAGGGGATGATGGTTGTCTCCCATGCCGAGGCGAAGCCGAGGTGGTTGGAGACGCGGAGGGCGATTGTGCGGGCAGAGTAGCGGTTTTGGTCATCCTGAATGCTTTCGGCTTGGGTGGAGGAGGTCTGAAAGGCAAAGGACTCCCCATATTCGGATGGGTGCTCGGACGCGAGGAAGAAGTCGTGCTGCTCGGGGGAGTGGGAGGGGGGTTCGTTATGTAGGTCTGTCTTGCGGGCGAAAATCGCGTTCATCAGGATAAGAACCTCATTAGCAGTATATCCATTTGGCGCAGCGTGCATCCTGGGAGCTACCAGACAGGCACAGGTGGGTCTAACATTCGTCACAAGTTGCCAGGTCAGAGAAGCGATATCTGTAGGACTGTGTTGATGATGCTTGGGGAAGGAAATGGATGGATGGATGGAATTTATTTCGCCCGGAGGCGCGAAGCCTAAAGGGCCTTGGCACGCTAACTACTCCAATTCCTTGACGTTCAACCATCAACTCGTACAAGCCCTCTACTCTCTCCCCTTTTCTCACGCCACCTGTTGCCTCTTGACTTAGTTTAGCAG